GCTTCATTTCATGGCGCGGAGAGTGGGTGGTGCTACTGTTTGTTTGACGTCTCATTTCATTTCCAGCCCGTTGCACCACCAATCCCCTGTGCACACGTACACTCCACAATCTCACTTAATTGTAACGGGCAGAGTTGTAAAAAGCGAGTGAGAGAGTTTGAGAGAGAATGGTTGCGAGGACTAGAAAATATGACGGTAATTTTACCAGTCCAGTTTTCCTGCCAGCGATACTTCAACTGCCCTTTACGATTAACTCTACTTCGGCTGATTTCCATAGTAACCCTATGGAAATTACTTCCTCTTGAAAAGGGGGAATTCTGAATTTGCTTGAGCCGAACGAATGATTTCATTGCGGTACCAAGAAGTGACGCCATTTGTTTTGAAATTCTCGAAAGAGTGAATCAAGCAAAAACCAACATTGGTGTCGTATTCTACCAATTCCCCCCCCCCCCCAAAGCCTCCCCTCGATTGGTTTCTGGCCGACGTTATTATCGCTTTTTCATCGCTTGAATCACTTAGACGACACTCCCCAGACTAGTCATCATAAACACTTTCCCGGCTGACTGTTTCCAACTTGGGGTTGGGCGCTCACGCCTTACCCGATTTTACTCTGGGCCGTAGTCAGGGTCAAGTCATTGACTTTATTATAACTGGCAGCACAATTTCTTGAATGATAGAGGAATCCCTTCAATTTTGAGAGACTATTGAACACGGCCCTTGAAATGGGTCACTATCAGGCACGATTCGAAGTGGGCTTAGTTTTTGGAAATCTTTGAAGAAAACCCTCTCTTGATTTGTTTGATTTGTTCTTCTTTTTTTTCTTCGTTGAGCCATTCTTGCCTGAAAAGTGACAAGCTCTTATCTAGCTAAATCCCTAGAAAAACGTTCGCCAACAATTTAGAAATCCTAGTTGAATTTCATAATAATTCGAAAAGATAAGTAGATTTTACATGCACAACCTAATAATTTTACTGTAAGTGGACTTCAAAACAACTGAAAATGCCTGATTTTCTTCTATCGTAAACTTTCAAGGCCCATCTCGCCAAAGGATTTCTGATATTTTATCATTAATCATTATTTCTGGGGCTAGAGTAAACNGAGTGATACGAAACGAGCTGAAATTACAGATCATCCTATAGAAGCTGCTAGGGCTGCTTATGAATTTGCGGATAGTGCCAAGTTCATAGCACTCTTTTAGGCCGCATAGAGTTGGTGCAGGCTCTCAAGGTACTTTGTTTCTATCGGTTGTGCCGTAGTTCCCTCATTGAGTCATTGATTTGCTCCCGTGTTTTTGACTATGTCAGCAAAACAAGCGATTTTATCACTGATAAGCGGGCCTGTTCCAATTTTATCGGTAGTGATTAACACCCAGCTGACCTCCAAACACCTGCAATCGATCTGACAGTTGGTGAGCGTCAGCTTGTTTTTACTGCCGTACCGTTATCGTCTGCGTTGACTTACTTCATTACAACAGTGGTGTAAGGTGTCGTTGAAGGCTGTGGTTTTCCTTTTCTCTTCAGTTAGTTCCAATCTCTTTGAGTTTATGTTTTGTACACGTGTTCGACCAAGCCATAGAAAACCTTGGTTCTTCACAGATGGACCGCTAAACATTGCCCGATGAGGAAGTGAAAGAAACCTAAACTATGTTAAAAAACACTTCGGCGCTATCGCGAGATACGATGGCATCCTCTACTTCTACGTCTAGAAGGGACTCCACCCAAGGATGAGTCTCATTTTACGCAAAGAGGTGCTTTTCGGGTTCGAGATGCATTACCATCACAATGCCTCCATATCTTGCGATAGCGCCAAAATTTCCTTGGAGGCTTAATTCCTCGGAAAATTTTCTTTGAGATTCTTAGCTGATCATTTTGCCTAACTCCTTATTGACACCTCTTATCACTCTCTTTACCCTTACACTGATAATGATAACGAGTATTAGGATTATTTTGTTGAGGGTGTATGGGGTGAAGCTCCAGCTCGTCGAAAAAAATCCCCCAAATTAGAAACTGCAGGTTACAAACTATTTGCAAGTCCACGCAGTCATAGGAAAACCACCGGGCTCACGCGAAGTGGGCGCACTGCTCTATCTACATACTTTTGAGAACTTATGGGTTGAGGAGCTCCGACTTCCACCCCGACCATGTCTTGGTCGAATGCAGGGGAACACGTTATCGTTACAAGCAAGGCAAAAGCACGGCTAACTTCAAAATTTTGGGGGGTAGAGCTTCCTAAA